GAGGTATTTTGAAGAAGTATTCTGATGTCAATTCAGTGCACAATGGTGTTAGCGTGCATGTAGTACATTGGGTCCGGAACAAGATGTGAGTAGCTATTTTTGAAGAAACCGTTCATTTTCCCCATAGAGACATCAGTTCACACAGAATGACAACAAGACTTCACGAGTCTAAAAATCCCTCCTTAACAGTTAATAAGGCACATATGATCCTTTTTAGCTGTGTATTCATATTAACTTACCTTTTACAGATGTGGCTTAGTTTGCGGTTGTAGTGAGTTATTAGTTGATTAGCGCCTAGCTGTTCACACAATTGTAGAGCTGCTTTGTGTTGTAATGCTGTTGAAATGGATGATGATACTGTGCTGTATGTGATCTTTTGCATGTTAATGAACATTTTGCATATGTGAGTGTACAGTGCAATGTGTGCTACATATACACTTATATGCTTTGATACACTTTCAAAAACAAGAAAAAATCATTATAGAAACACCTTCAGGTTGAAGGACAGAACTGAAATGCTACACACAGTAAATGCAGCTGGAGGTTTAGGGTGTTTCTTTCTAAGAATGTCATCTAAAGCTTATTACCACTTCAGCTGAATGAGCTAGCTGACACACTTACTATCCAAACTACAGTCATGTGCATAAGTTTGGGCACCCTTGGTCAAATTACATGTTTTGTCAATTTGTGAAAATAACAACACATTTTATACAGAGAAAACTCTAAATGTTTAATTGCTTAATTTAACATATTAGGGAAAAAACAATCATAAAATTTAGCCTGTCCAGAAGTTAGAAGGTGTTTCCAGTTTGTTTCCAATACGTTAAATTCAGAAAATAAATAGAAATTGTGCACTAAAACTTGCCATATTTAAGTTCCTGTTCTCTGTCGAGTAACTTATTTTCACTTAGAAAATCAACAAAAGATGTAATTTGACAGGGGGTGTTCAAACTTTTGCACACAACTGCACAGCCATAACTAACTGAAAACATGTCGAACCTGACACTGCTGCGAACTGCAAGAGAATGGCACTGCAGTAATGACAAGCAGAACTGACACAATCACATAAGCTGGAAACATAAGGTTTTATTCATTTACTGCATTAAGGTTGCAGGTTTGAATTTAATCCGTTTTGTTTGTGTTTTTTCTGAAGCTGAAATTTCACGAGTCCAAGTCGAATCATGAGTCATTTAACGAGCAACTCAAGTCCAAGTCATTGACTCTAAGCTCTATACTCAAGTAGCTCATCTAAAGTAATGTAGTCTTTCACTTTCATTCAAACAGCTTCTACTTCCTCTTATCAGAAAGCCTTACAAATGCAGTCCAAGACAAAAAGTAGCTGAAAATAAGTAAATAAAAAAATAAACATCATTTATTATTTCAGGCCAACTTTTAAACTCTATTTTATTAGTTGAAGTCTGTGATTTTGAAAGCTGTGTTGTGATATGTAATTAGAAACTACTCAGGCATTACTTATAGAGCAGGGACGCATACACGCGCACAGACTCAGCAAAGACCCTCACTTCACTTCAGATATATATTTAAGCAGATGAATACGGATCCGCCCAACAAGACAGAGAATGATAGATGATGGCTGAGTGGCCCAGAGTTAGTCATTCAGCTCCCTCAATGTTTTATTGATGCGAGAATTTTCTCTTTCCCCTCCTCGCTAAAAGTATTAAGGAGGGGCTCTTCCCTTTGGTGGAGAAAGGACATAGAATGACTTATGGATTTGTGGTCTTTTTTTTTAGTTCTAAAACTGTGCATTGTGTATGTGTCTTTGAGTAAGGCCTGCTCTTTCCATTCGTCAGCAACAGTCTTGCGATTGTCAATTTCATGGATGATTAATTGTCATTACTATGTGAGAGAGAGTGTGTGCCCGTGAGGGTGAGTGAATGTGTGTGTGTGACAGAAAAAAAGTCAGAGAGAAAAAGAGGTGGATTATGATTCAGAGCTAGGCCTCCTTTTCTGCTTGATGCATCTTTTCTAAGCATGTCTTAGGTATAGATGGCCTGGAAAGAAAGCCTTGAGCTGTTCTTGCTTCAGAGGCCGTACATTGTTGTAGTGTAAACACGTCTACAGTCAGTCATGATGGCCTCAGCTATTTCCTCACCCTGTCAAAATACACACGGCGCCTGCTGCTTTGTGGGCTGGCAATGTGTGCGTCTAAATCCACAGCAGTAGTCTTGTCCAGTGAAGACTTTGGAGAGATAAACGTGTTTTCTTATTTTGAATGAAAGCAGTGTAAACTGAGAGAACATGTTTTTTTCAAAGTTTCACATACTGCTACATTTCCAGTCGGCATGTCACTCATGATTATGTTGCACAGCTCTAGCCAGTGTAATTGAGAGATATGTGTCGTTTTAAAAAAAGAGAGAGCAGCACAGACAAAAAACCAATAGTATTACAAATGGAATTGGTCTAGTTGTATGTTTTATGAGTTGACTAGGGTCCCACCTATATGAAAAATGTGTAGCCAACACCATATCATTTTAAGGGGTTACAAATTCCAAATGACTGATAATATTGGCCGACCTAATTTAATATTTATATGGTAAGTGTCAATTTTGCAGTCCAATATTTTACACAGTGCTTTACTAATTGATGATTGTTATTTCTCAACTGTTGCACTTTTTAAAATCAAGTACACAACAGAAATTCACAAGATCTTAATACAAGAAAATGTTGCACTGGGGATGGAGCTACCTAGAATTCTTTGCAGTTTTGGCTTCTATTAATTACCTCTTATTATTTTTCATTAGGTCTCTTCATAAAAAGTTTGTGTGTGTGTGTGTGTGTGTGTGTGTGTGTGTGTTATGTTATTCTCAATTTTAGCATTCACTGCTTTTCTTGGTTTTCTAGTGCTTCATTTATTTAGAAACAGTGTGAACATTCATTGACATTTAAATTATGAATCTCCAGGATGATATAAAAAATTAGATATTCTTCATAGTTACATTAAAGATAAAAATAAATTAAAAATAAAAGCAATGACTAGAGGAAATGTGCAACCACATTAGCACTGCTCCACTGAGCCACACCTGCCCCAACATAAAAATTGAGCATTTAAAGTGGAATGTGCTAATCACACTGCTTGTAGCATCATTACTCTTCAGTGGTGAACTGCGAATATTAGAGCTAAGCTTTCAATCTGATCCAATTTATGCCAAAAATCAAGAAAAAACATGGATACAATAATGCTAATTTACAGTAGGTGTGCAATGTTATGGTAGCCCTATGCTAACACTGGCCTTTATGGTTAGAACACAGACATTTGAAGTCTGTAAAAGATGATACATGTATTTTAACCTGTATGTTCCAGTTTCACAGTGTCCTCAGTAAAGGACTAAGCAGTAGAATGTCTGCTGCCATTTTCACTGTCAGTGACATACCTTCACACAACAGTTAGTTCCGGCCACGCAAGCTGATTGGTTGAGAAGCGTTGTTTTTTCACAAACACTGTATCAGTCCACTTAGACGCCATTGCTAAGCAATGACTTTGACAACTGTGGGAGACGCTCAAGCCATTTGACATTTTTACTTCTTACTTTGTGCACAAACAGATGATGCATACTTTTAAGATCACATTTGACCGACAGCCGATTTGGTCCGACACTGAAGATGAGACTACGCTAAATTCCAAAACTGTCATTACCACTGAGCAGCTTTTCGGTCGGAGCTGTGACAGAAGAACGCCTAAACTACCTGGAATTAGCCAGAAAAGAACCGAATACCATTCGCCAAACAAAATTGGCTGCAAAACGCTTTACAGACAGGCTAGAACAAAAGAAGGAGCTGGAGAACAAACTGCTGGCTGTGCAGCGAGTGAGCGGAGTTCATTACTCTGACATAGCAACAAACTGCTTTTTAAGGAACTATAATTTGGTGGAAAGAATCGCTAACATTAAAACATATTAAATGCCACGTTCACAGCCCAATTTATTTATTTATTACTTTATTTATTTAACTGTTGTATAAAAGCACTAGAACACTCGAGGTTGTGTGATATCGAGAATAACATGATGTTATTTCATGATAACACTCCCTCTCGTGTTCTATTGCTTAATTATCCGGGCCTTCTACAATGCCTACAGTGATGTTTTTTTTTTCTCTTGTGATTGTTCCCACCTGTTGGAATCCAAAAACAGATTAGTTGATTGCACTATAATCTACTATAGTCAACTAATATCACTATATTATAATAAACTATACATAATCATTTTCCAATTATGTTGGTGGTTTATCAGACACACAATGCCTTGAGTTCAACCTCCTGAAGGGTCCTGAAGGCTCCTGAAGGCTTAACCATTGGGAAAGCTATTATAGCTGTATCTATCTAGATACCATTGAGGAAAAAATTCCTGACTGGACAGTTTTCCATTGGGCATTTTACAACTTTAACCCTTATGTTTCCAACTACAACTTAACAATGAATTAAGAATGTTATGTCAATACAAGCATGTTTTTAAAACAAACAAGCATGACGGTTTTACGAAATTAACTAAAAATTATGTATATTTAGTTCCCAGAAATCTTTAGGCCTACAAGGCCCTGATGGTTCCCCTCTGCTACTGATGTCCAGTTAACCGTAGAACTGTTAGAATGTTTACAATGGGTATCTGATTATTTCAGTGATAAAAGAGAGAGCAGAATTTCAGCGAGATTCAAATAGCAAAAAATACAAATGACAGTAGGCCACTCTTGCCAAATGAACATTTCTCAATTCCTCTTTGATGCACTACATTCCTCTACCCAAAATAGACATGTTAATTAGAAGTGTACATGAAAAATACTAGTACAGCGGCTCTCAATGCCAGCTCTGGCATCTCCACAATGAATGCTTTTAGGTTTTCCCTACTCTAACAAAACTGATCTAATCCTTCAGTTAATTATCAAGTCCTTCCTGAGTCAGGCATGTTACAGCAGGGGAGATGTGGTGCAGGATTGGTCTGTGACAACCAATTAACACCTTTCTGTCTCTGTATTTGTCTTCTGCCCAGCCGTGGAGCTCAGTATCTAACCAGGCTAAAGACTTCATAGAGCGTCTGCTGAGTCTCAACCCTGAGCAGAGAATGACTGCAGAGCAAGCTCTTAAACATCCTTGGCTGGTCACCATGGCAGCCGGCTCGTCCAAAAGGAACCTCCACCGGCCCATATCCCAGAACCTCAGGCAGCGGGCCTCGCGGTCCTCTGCCCGAAGAAGCAGCAGCTCAGGTTCCGCTCATGGGTCACGATGTGCCGCCAGCCCTCGCTCACACTCGGGTCATGAATCATGCCAATTAGGTGAAAACAGATTGCAGCGCAGTGTGATGGTGTCTGCTTAAACCCTTAGGCTTCGCAAGTTATCACCAGTGATAGCAAAAGCATGTCATTTTATTTGAATTACTTTTCACTTGTAGCCTCCTAAATGAAGCTGAGAAATTCTATCATACTATAAACTTTCAATTTAGTGTTAGTGTTTGTAAGTAAAAGAGGAGATCTGATTCATTATTACTTCATGAGAGGAACAGAGATAGAAATATTATGTCTGTAGCATTCCTTTTGGAGTATTGCAAAAGTTTTAGAAAATACTATAAGACAGTGCTCCAAAAATATCATATGGCAGTCAAAGTATTGTAAATTTAACAGTATAGTACTATTCACTGCTATAGAAATCCTATAGCTTCCTACTATATTATTAGCACTGTGATAATGTACTGTATTATTACTGTATTAGTACAGTTCTTTATTGTTGTCTTGGTTGTTGTAGAGTCTAGTTTTACAAAAAAATATAAAAATTGGCCACATTTCTGTCATTTCATCACATTAAAACAAATGAAAAAAGTTTGAAGTGCAGACTCAAAGCTGTCGATGCAGAATATCAATTAAATGTAAATGTAATTCACAGTGTAATTCACTCTGCAATTAAATATTTAATTACATCTGAATAGTACAGCAAAATGAAAGTATTCCTAAAATGAAATCACCTCTTACAAGGTTTAAAGCTCCCACTCTCTGAGAATCTGGCTACACTCCACCCAAAGACCATCAATCTGAAAAACTTTACGGTCTTCAATAAATTCACCCCATTAAGAGTGCTGAGATTGCCTTGTCATAAAAATACTTTCAGCTACACTTAAATGGCAGAGCTCTCCATGTCAGAGCTGCTGAAACTGAAATCTTAAGCTGACCTCATAATGCACATTTAAGAGCTTGTCAAAGGCTAAAGGCATATTTAATTATCATGAATTAACATTACTGAGCACAGAATGCAAAAGCATTGAAGCCCCACACATCCTGTATGTTAAACACCTCTGATATGAAATTCTAATTCATAGCTGATTAATCAGAGGCATATAAACTGAAGAAAGTAAGCCAGAGAAGTTAGCGGTCTGTTAAAAGTTCAAGCTTTAAATAAAAAATTCCATTCATTAGTGCCTCTCACATAACTCAACAGCTGAACTGGCAAAAAAGAGAAAACACAGTTTTTTTTTCCCAAACAGTTTCAGCATCTGAACTAAATTAAAATGCAAATAGGTTGAAAAGTAGTCTAGCTGTTAACACGGTATTATTTCATCAATGCACACAATCATAGTTTTTCTTTCTCTATGCTTCTGTATATTCATATTTTTCACAATAGGTTTGTTCTGCTGTTGATTGTGTGAATAAACAATGTAAAGTTTTCCTCAGTCTGATCACCTCCAGAAAGTGTGGCTGTGATGATTACATTAAAAGAGGAGCAGTTTGTGAATGTCTGTCAGATGCTTCCGTCTGCCTCCAACTGATTTGATTGGTGTGGGGACTGTTGAGACGATATTAAAGTACAGAGGATGCACATCTAAGATATTTTAGGAATTGAAATCAGTTCAACAATTACTTGTCTTTACTTTGGTGTTGGGCTGTTCTGGACTAAACTGGTCTGACAGTGGGCATTTTATGCTCAAAATCAGACCTTTCTGGTTTAGGATAAGGTTAAGGTTTGGGATTTTTTAGGTGGGGCTGTAATGGGGCCACAGTTTCTGTTCAGGGGCCAAATAAATGCCTTCAAATTCTAAGAGCTCCATAATCACTCACAATATCTGTACAATGTATTTGTATATATTATTTACATTACATACATATATTCATCAGTGTGTTTTACACTTGGCAGCAGACATGGTAAAATGTAATTATGAGGCTAATAATTTCACAACTACCAAACACAGACATGCAAACTCATAAGCAGTGAAAAATAGGACAAGTTCAGAAACCAAGCCTTGTACAGGGTCCAGAGGCTTGAAACATTTTGCTTAAAAAATATTAGTTACTTTAAATGAAAATTTAAAGTATGAAACTGAAGCTTCATGAAGCTTTATGGTGTTTTGATATAGGGAAACCTCCAGGACCAGGATTGAGTACCCTTGAAAGATGAAGATTGTAGGAAGATTCAGTTCATTGAGTTCAACAACTATGGCAATTCAAGTCATGTCAAAAACTGTACTGCTTTCCAGGTATTAAATTATAAATGAATAATAAATAAAATAACCTATTGCTTACCATACCAATGTCACTGAGTGAATCTGACAAATGTATCCTTTTAAGATCCCTCCTCAATAGTTACTATAAATAAAGGCCATTCTAAAAACTCACTTATTTGTATTCTAACTGCTGAAAGTCCTATACTGGCGCAATAAGGCATGGTATGTTTGGACCCCGATTGATGTAATATGCTGACGATTGCTTAGCTCTCATAGGGAGTACAGTCCACAGAAATCAATGTGTTCTGCATTAATTTCAGACCAAAACAAAGTGCTGCCTGACTGTCTACTCATACTCATTTACTCACTCATCTACTCATGCTAGTTTTTTTTATATACTTACACATACCCAACACTCTAAAGGTATTGAAGGATATCATATTGATGAAAATGAAACTGCTCAAGAAACTTCTACTGCACACAAGGTTTTATTTAGCAGTACCATTAAAGCGCTGACTTCATTTTAGCTAAGTTAATATTATCCAGCAGCACTTCTGAAACTCTTTCAGTGTACACAATTCATGTGAGCAGCATATTTACCATTCAAATCCAGGAATTTCACTATAGGATGTCAAGATTGTTAATGATGCGACTGAAGGTGGTAAGTGTCTGAAGGGGGCCACGTAAGGGGCCTATCAGATTTGTTCTGGAGCCAGTGACCCTGTGGCCCCACCCCTAGATCCGTCCCGGTCCTCTGAAAAGTAAATTTCACCCAGTTTCATTCAATTTTCATCCCCCAGAAAATACATGCATACAACTGCACATTAACAATAAAATATTTCCATTTTCAGTTGTCTGTGTTTGAAAATGAAACAATTATGCATAAAGGCCTCAGCAAACTTCTTGCAAGGTCGACATACACCTGATTGTGGCGAACAATATGGTGGAAAAACTTTGAGGTGCGGCTCTCAGTGTGGGTACGAATGGAGAGAAATCGGAGAAACTCTCGGTAGAAATTCAAATGTTTGCCATCAAGAGTGGAAAAACCTCCTGACAAACTTGTAAAAGCAATAAAAAAATTGCTATGAGGGTTGGAGTGGAGATGCTTGTGGCAACAAGATCCTTCAGTTGTATACAGCTTTGTAATGGCTATCTGGCTTCATAAAGCACTGCCCCCATAGCTAGAACTGTGACAGAATTGCTTTAGTTATGGAACTTCGGCAAAACTAAACCACAGAAAGTATGCAAGCTTGCAAGCTCGCAAAGGCGCTTTCAGCTTTGCACAACACTCGCAAACTTCATTTTGTAAGAAGTGATGTTGTTCACCATGGAGCTTCCTGCTGTAGAACGCTGTGCAGATCTCACCTGCATGAACCGACCCCCCTGATGATACTGCATTTTTTAATCATAGACGTTGCTTCTCCTGCTTTTCCGTATCTTATACTTACACTGATGGTCAAACCTTATTCGCTGCTGTTATTGTTTGCTATCCAGTCAACCAGAGAAGGTTGGGTTCCCCTTTTGAGTCTAGGTTCAAGGTTTCTTACTCGTACTCTTACAGAGTTTTTTCTTACCACTGTCGTCACTGGCTTGCTTATGGCACCCAGACTGCTTTGCTGTTCTTCACACCTCTCACTTCCCAGCTTTAGCAAAAGGTTCTCAAAAAGAAAAGAATATAATGGCACATATCAGTTCCTTTCCTGAAAGATGCTGGTCGTACTAAGGTCGGACCTGTTTTTTTTTTCTGTAAAGCTGCTTTGTGACAACGACTATTGTAAACTTTGACTTGACTTGACTTGTATGCTGAGCACTTAAGTGCATCATGTTGTGGTTTCCACTAGATGCCTGAAGTAAAAGTAGCTACCAAAAACCAACCAAAGCAAGTAAAACAGTGGCAGTTTAAAAAAATTCCAAGTTCCCTGTATAACTCCATTGGAACTTCTTAGTACGACCAGCATCTTTCAGGAAAGATGTTGTGCCATTATATTCTTTTTCATTTTGAGAACCTTTTGCTAAAGCTGGGAAGTGAGAGGTGTGAACAACAGCAAAGCAGTCCAGGTGCCAGCAGCAACAGAATATAGTTAAACACAAGAAAGGAATTTGTAACATAAGATGAATGATTATAGAAATGAAGAAAAAGTAAATGTCTTTACTCACAAATATGCTTTTATGTGACTAAAAGTATTATTATTATTATTATTATTATTATTATTAAGTTATTATTCTTATTATTCTTATTAAGTACAAAGCCAGCAAAACTACACCTGAAATTAAGTTCCAGTAACTAATAATTTTTGTAACTATCCACCCTGATCATTTCATGTCTCTTTGGGGAGACACCATTTGGACCTGCCCCGTTCTGCTTTGGCTCACTGCAGCTCCAGCTTCACCCAGGCTTCCCCCTCTGGAGAGTCATCACACAGACTCTACCATTTTGTACTGGCTCACTCCAGCTCAAGCTCCACCCACTTTTGACCATGCTCATCTGCAGCTTATTCTATTGACATTAGTTAGAATATATTTACCTCTTTGTTGGGCCTGGAGCCTTGCAACGTCTCTGTTGTTTATACTGAGTTCTGAGCCTGTTTTCTTTCTGTTTTTTCCTGTGTTTTGCCCTTTGCTTTGTTTCCCTGTTTTTGCTATTATGGAATTCCCTCTGATATTGCCTGCCTGTTTTCTGACACCTGCCTGTGATAACTTTGAGATTTGTCTTGCCCCTAATAAAGCCACTCAGTGCATGCTGCCTGCCTACATGCTCCATTCCTTACACAAGTTGTGAAAGAATGCTTGAATCTGGTATATTATATGATATAAAACAGCTGCACACAAAGCATTTTCATACAATTTCTTCTTAGGGTTTGAAGGAGTGTTTTTTTTCTGCTTGAGAA